TTTTTTTTTTTTTTTTTTTTTTTTTTTTTTTTTTAAATTTTAATTTTTTTTTTTTTTTTTTTTTTCACCCAAATGAAACGTTGGAGCACTGTTCCCACTCCATGTGGCTGAACGGTACACAGTACTACATACATCTATCTAACTTACATTCTTGCCCCTAACGGTACACAGTACTAAACTCATCTATCTAACTGTTAGTAGTACTTAATACTAATTTACTAAACAGATAGTAGTAGTAAATTCGAAATTGGAATCCTGTCCTTAGGGACATCCGTTAAAATTGGAATGATACAGAGAAGATTAGCATGGCCCCTGCGCAAGGACGACACGAGATTATGAAGGAAAAAAAAAATTAAAAAAAATCGAAATTCGAATCCTGCCGCAGCTGGAATTAGACAGATACAATTATTATTACAAGACCGTTAGGGGCTTCTTTGGCTTCTTTTTTTTCTTTTTGTTTTTTTTGAAGTTTTTTTCTTTTTGTTTTTTTTGAAGTTTTTTTCTTTTTATTTCTTTTTTTCAAAAGTTGGACTGCTCGATTTTTGTGTATTATTCTTGCACAGCCCCCCGCTATCTGTATCCTTTTTCAAAGTTTTTTTTTTTTTTTTTTTTTTTTTTTAATTTCCCCTTCCTAATGTGTACTGTAACTATTGTTCCAACTTCCAAGGACATGACACTTTTTTGAAATGGATGGTGTTAGTTTGTTAAATGCTTGTCATGCCGCCGCTACTTTAACAGACCTCCTGAAGGACAGCAGTGCAAACATCAGCAGGGGCATATATACTCACACTGCGACTGTTTTTACTGAACCTTAATCTGACCTCAACTGCGAACGGATTCATTCAACAAAGTCTCAGTGTGAGTAGATGCTCTGTAGCTAACAGACAGGTATTGTCATGATGGAACTGCAAGCCTATAAAATTAGTATAAATTTATAAAATTGTAAATGCTAGAAAAAAATGGTGGTAAGAGATCAGAAAAAGGTTTTGAGGGTACCACTAGCAAGGAGGACTGTGGATTGAATGCCTGAATATGGACGTGATTTAAGCAGAGATGCAGAAAAGCACTTTCAATAACATCAATCTCGATTTTGTGCATCTTTCCACAAACACGTCCAGATTCAGGCCATTTCATCCAATCCTCTTTGCTAGTGGGACCTTCCCCCTGGTCTAGTGTTGGTTGCGTACGGTCTTCACCCGAGTACAATTCCTGGTCATTATCACTGTACCTAGACTGAAAAGTTGCACCAAATACGCGGCTATAATGACCCGGTGATCTATTCGGGTGAAGATGGTAGTCCACCTTCCTAACGGGTGTCATATACAAGACAGCAATGAACCCTACCGTCTTCACCCCAATAGAACGCCCGGTCATTATCGCTGTATCTAGACTGGAAAGTTGCACCAAATACGCAGCTATAATGACCGGGTGATCTATTTGGGTGAAGATGGTAGTATATGCCTCTACCTACGTAGAACCGTGTTCGCGTTCGGAGGAGAACGCGAACAAGCGCCCAAAACCCTCCGAACGCGAACATAAAAAATATTAAAAAAAAAAAAAAAAAAGGTTCTCAAAAAATTCTGCAAAACATATATGTTATGTAAAATAATAAAACAAGCAACTTTTGCCTTGGAGTCATGTTCAAATTCTCAGCCAATCATGAGTTAAAAATCAAAAACCGATTTTTTTATTTTTTATTTTTTTTTTATTTTTTTTTTTTACGAAAAAAAAATGTTCGCGACCTGTTCGCGCGAACATGGAGGGCTGCGAACACGTTTGCCGTGCTACGCAGGCCTCTACTGGTTGCTCCTGCTCAAGGCAAACAAAAAAATCTTCTAATGGAAAGACATTGATCATGGGCAGCAAATCCAGCAGATCTTTCTTTACAATTTTCAATTTCTTTATAATAAAAAAATAAAAATAAATCAATGGTAGAGAGTGGCCTAAAAGTTTTCTCGCCCTTCCCCAAACAGGGCACATTCTTCCACTCACAAAAAATGGAACCAAAGGCCAACAATAACTACCTTGGTCCCCCTTGGCTCCTTTTCCGCGTGGTCCTGTGGGGCTCAGCCCTTCAAGGCCAGGCTCCACTAGTGCTACCGTCTTCCCCCGAGCATAACGCATTTGTGTTGTATTCTAGGCTGCACCGGCGCCCGGCCGGTTGGGCCCGGGGGGGTCCGCCCGGGTGAACCGGGCGACGCAAAAACAGGGCAAGGATATATATATATATATATTTCTGAAGGTGGGGCTGTGCTGCGCTGCACTAGAGGACCCCGAATCCGCAATAGAAAATTGAACTTGGGGGTTGGTTGGGGAGGGGGTGGGG